TTCACTTCACCAAAAATCTATATGGCTTCCAATTACATTTTCAACATATACTTTATAGCCATACTCATTTACTTTCTAGCCACAATTAAGAACAATTCATTTCTCCCACTAACAAATGCAGCAGGAGGAAATTGTGGAAATGCACCAGCTGCTAGCTTAGTTCCATGTCTTGGTGCAGCCAAAATTGCTAAGGCCAAAGTCCCTCCAATATGTTGTGGCAAAGTTGGGGCATTGTTAAAGACTTCACCAAAGTGTCTATGTGCTGCAATATTGTCACCAATAGCCAAAAATGCTGGGGCTAATCCTACTGTTGCTGTTACTATCCCTAAAAGGTGCAACATCAAGAATAGGCCTATTGGCAAGAAATGTGGAAGTAAGTGTAACAAATATTTTTTTTTGTTAAAGAGTTTAAACTTCTATATATTCATGGACACGTAGTATGAGAATTTGTATATTATCAAATTATCTAAAAGATAATTCAGGCAGTGATTCATAATAAGAAGCTTAGAGAGCGTTTTGTTAAGCTTGTAATTAATTGGTCAAATCTACTTATAAATAGGGATATCAAATGAGCAGGTTAGATTGAATTTGAACATGTCAAAAATGGATTGTTTAATGAATGATCTGTCCAAAAGTAACTTGGCTGAAATTGGCTAAGAAACGTTGATACCCACACACAAAAAAGAAAGTCTTTGTAGAAATATTTTGACAAAGTTTTCATTGGTTAATTTGGGCTATATATTATCCAAAGTTTTAAACAGGTTGAATTGGACGGATCAAAATGAGTTGAAGTAATATTGACTCACCCAAATTTGAATGGGTGGACGGTTCATATGTTCATGGACTAATTTTGTCATCCCGATTTATATCTCAAAATCAACTCTAAAATATAAGTTGGCAACCCCTGACTTACGATTTTGCATCTTGTAATCACTTTTGATTTGACTTGATCTTTCAAGATTTTATTGTTAATATCTTTTTTTAATCTCGGATGTGCTCTTTAAAACATAGCCTTTAATTATCTCTTTACTCTATTTTTGTCATTTGAACTTTATGTAAAAATACTTCTAAATTTATATTTACTTTGTAAATAGTTTTAAGGATATTTCCATAGTTCCATTCATCATGTTTACAATGATTACATGGACTAGTTCTTTTTTATTTTCCCTATTTCAAGAAATTGACCCTCTGTTTGGCCAATTTTAAATAAATTCAGTACTACTTGATTATTTCGAAATAATGGGGAATATCCGTAATAAATCAACAATATTAAGAAAAATGTAGTTCCTTGAAATCAAATCCAAAGTATTTACCATGATATTGAATACTTGAAATTCAAATTAGTATATTTTAATTAAATTAATCATAAA